AAAATATGTATGTTAGTTTGATAGTCACAGGTCCTAGAGGTGAGGCGAGGCACTGTAGCCTAACTCTCCTATCAGGCAGCAGAGGTCCACAAACCTCCCTAGGGACACTGGGCTGAGGAGAGGTCTGAGCACACTCAGGTCCTTGTCCTTGGTCACCAAGGTCACTCCAGGTTCGGAACACAGCAGAGACAGTTTTGTCAGAGTGGTTAATTATGGTTCTTCTACTGGTCAGCTGCCTTCCCTGTTATTATGGGGGCTGAGCTTATTGTATCTTCCAGAATAAATAGAAATAACGCTGCAGGGTCTTGCTGCAAATGCCTTTATTTGTGTAGGGAAAGGTTACTCTTCCTGACATCTTCCTCCCTGGCTATGTGAGATACAAAGAGAGAAAGAAATAACATAGAAATGTGGCTGAATAATTTGACCAGAGGGCATTTCATAAATTCACACACACAAAATATTGCTGTGGTTTGAGTGTATCATGACCCCTAAATTCACACATGACTGGCGTGCTATGGTCACCAGTGGACTCATCCATTGATGAGAACAGTAGCTGAGGGTGCTGTTAGTGGATGGCCTGGGTGGAGGCGTGTCAGGGGGCGTGGCCTGGAAGGGTGTGTTCTTGTCTCTGGCTCCTCCCCTTCCTGTCTGCTTCCAGGCCGCCATGAGATGAGCGGCTGTCCTCCGCCCAGCCCCTTGCTCCATGGCCTTCCTGCCTTGGAGCTGGCCGACCATGGGCGGAGAACCTGAGCTCTCCTTTAAGCGGTGGCAGTGAGGTATTTTGTCAGTGATGAGGAGGTGACCACAGCTCACGTCATGAAGAGGGAACAACCACCATGTCTCTGTAGAGTGTTCAAAGCTGACCTGATGCTCCGAGCGGCACAAAGAGGTCCACGTGTCCCCCTTCTTCCTCGGTGGCCACATAACTTCCCAATTTCTCCCAGAAGTCTCTCACTTCAGGCCTCAGTAAATTTTTAATACCAATTTTATAGCCTGAGGGGGGAAAAAATCAAAGTGTCATATTAACTTGTAATATTATCAGGGACAGAAGGTCTTAGTGGAGTGAAGAAATGAGACCACAGATTCCAGAGGCTAACATGTACTCATATACCCAAGATCTCCAGGACACCGTCAGGACCGCGAGGGTGCGGCAGGACCCCACCACCACCACGGTCTCCTCTACACTCTGATTTAACTGAGTCTGTGTCCTCGCACGCAGGGCATGGTGTTCCCACTTCCACTGTGCAGCGGTGCGAGTTACCGGGCCAGTGGAGTTTAGGGTGAGTGGCTGGCCAAGTCCTGGGATTTTGCCACTAAATTCCAAAGGAGAAATTCTTTCCACAGCTGTCAGTCAAAACAATAAGTAGTTGAGAGCAGAAGTGAGGCTCCCTGAGATGCCAAAAGTGAACTGACAGGTTCCTTTTTCTTTCGCTGCCTGGAAAGTGATTCCGGGGCTCACTCTGCCGTTCTGTGAGCTCCCTGCTGGCTGGATCCTTGATCCTTATCCCACTAGGGTAAATATCTGGATGTCCCCCAGAGCCTCATGGCTTACAAGTGGAGCTTTTCAAAGGTGACTGAATCATGGGTTTGAGTCGCAGCTAACTGTGATGTTAGGAGGTGGGGCCTGGTCAGACAAGGCAGGTCTCTGGGGTGTGCTCCACAAGGTGCATCTCCCTCTCCAACCCCCTTCCTTCCTCTGCTTGCTGGCTGCCCTGCTTGAGCAGCTCTCGGGGCCCAGGCCTTTTTCCGTGCCCTTTCTGTGCCTACCATGGCCTGACACTTCTGAACTGTGAGCCAAATAAACCTCTCATTTTTGAGAAAGTTGAGTATATTCTCGAAATGACAGAGAAAGTGACTAAGATAGCTCCTCTTCCCTCCCCCCCCAAGGATGGAAGATTTGATGACAGCAAAATTTAAACCATTTCTACTGTAGGCAATAAACAAGGGAAGATGTGAGCTATATAAGGGAGAAAGAGACAAGAAGTTTACTTCTAAAGCATTCATCATCTCCTTCCCCTGCAAACTGTAAACACTGTGATTTCTGAAAGCTGCCCCATAAAGTTAATTATATCAGCCATTGCTTTTCCCTGTGGTATAAGCCAAGTGGGAGGATCATAGAAGTAGTCAGTGCCCAGCTATTTATAGAACTTGATGTTTGTTGATACTGCAGTTACTTCATGTTCATCCTGTAAAACTTTTACTCATCAAAGGATAGAATCAGCTGGGCATAGTGGTGCATGCCTATAATCCCAGCACTCGGGAGGCTGAGGCAGGAGGATTGTTGTGACGTCAGGGCCAGCCTGGGCTACAAAGTGAGCTCAAGGCCTGCGTGAACTGCATAGCAAGACCTTGTCTCAGGGGCTGGGGATTTAGCTCAGCAGCACAATGCTTGCCTGGCAAGCATGAGGTTGTGAGCTCGATTCCTGGTACTGGAAAAAAAAAAACAAAAAAAAGAAGACCTTGTCTCAAAAAGACAAAAAAAAAAGAAAAAAGATACAATCAATAGAGTAAAAAGGAATCCTGGAGAAAGGTAAAAAATATTTGCAAGTCATATATCTGATAAGGGACTGATATGCAGAATATATATGAAGAACCTCATATACATATATATGTGTATGAGATGTATATATACACACATATATGAGACTATGCAGGCTATATATCTGCATCACAACACATGTAAAATCCAAATGACCTCAATATCAAAACCAGGTAAAGGACTTGGATAGCCTTTTCTCCAAAGCAGACTGATAGATAGCCAGTGAGCACATGCAAAAGTGCTCAGCATCACTCACTACCAGAAGCATACTGACCAGACCCATGGGATGGCTACCATTAAAAAAGAAAAGAGCAACGAAAGGCTGAGGAGGCTGGACCCTTTGTGCGCTGTCCAGGCAGCAGCTGTGGGAAGCAGTGTGGAGGTTTCTCATTAAGATGAAATCCACCATGGAACCCAGCAATTACACTTCCGGGTCCACATCTAAAAGAGCTGGAAGTGTGAACTCCTACCAGGTGAGGTGGTGCACACCTGTAATCCCAGTTACTCAGCAGGCTGAGGTAGGAGGTTACAAGTTTGACGCCAGCCCAGTACCTTACTGAGACCCCACCGCAGGCTGAGGATATAGCTCGGTGGAGAGTGCTTACCCAACATGCACAGCCCTGGCTTCAGTCCCCAGTATTGGGATTGGGGGGACTCAAAAAGGCATTTGCAGACCCAGGCTTACTCATAACAGCCAAGAGGTGGAAGCAACCTAAATGGCCACCAATGGATAAACTGATAAACAAAATGTACTATCTATGCGCAATGGAATATTATTTGGCCTTTAAAAAGAAGCTCCTGTCACACTGCCACAACATGGGCTGAACCTTGAAGACAGTGTGCTAAGTGAAATACATTAGTCACAAAAAGACAAACACATATGATTCCACTTACATGAATAAAGTAACTAAAATCAGTAGAATGGTAGCTGGACGAGGTTATGGAGAGGGGAAAGGTGAGCTATTATTTAATAGATAAAGAGTTTTCGTTCTACAAAATGAAAACATTCTGGAGAGCTCTTTACAATATGAGTATTCTTTCCATGCCTGGTGCTACATGCCTGTAGCCCCAGCACTTATGAGGCTGAGGCAGGAGGATCGCTATGAGTTCGAGGCCAGCCTGGGCTACACACTTAGTTTAAGGCTAGTTTGAACTACATAATGAGACCCTGTCTCAAAAAACAAAACAAAACAAAACAATGAGTATACTTAACACCACTGAATTGTACACTTAAAATGGTTAAGACAGTAGCTTTCATGTTGTTTTTAATCATAATTTTTTAAAGTTATCAAAAATTGCTTCACTTTTTTCATAAATCCAAAATCAATACTTCTCAGTAAATTGAAACCTAAATAGTACTCTGAAAGCCATGCGTGTAGATGAACGCTACCTAATCACAAAGTGGTTTGGTGGCTCCTTGCCAATCCCCTACCTTGCAGTAAGTTGATTTCTTCACTGTCCCCGTCACTGAATATCCCCACACTCCGCGCCTTCCGCCCAGCCAGTGCTTTCTCTGTGAGGTAAAGCAGGCCGTCCAGGGTCATGCCGCTGTGCTCGTACACCACAGAGAGGACCCCAGCCTGCACGCTGTCCACCACCAGCTGGAGAGTGAAACCACAGCTTAGCAACCAGCACCCGCCGACTGTGAGTGGTCGGTAAGGAGAGAACTATGACGGCTGTGCACTACTCCGTGACTGCTGAAGACTGTTTCTCAGGAATGACAGAAGTTAAGCTTCCTCCTTCACTGGTTCCTTTTAAAATTATTTTATTTCTTTTCTAATTATGAGAGAAGAAACTTAAGTTCACTTGTAACCCCATCTCTCAGAGATAAATGTTATTAGCAGTTTGGCTTGTTTTATCCCAGTCCTTTTATACTTGGCCGTGCCATGCACAGAGACATACACACAACTTCCAAAAATACTAAAAGCAAGATCATACACTTTCGCAAAGGACTTCTTAAGTTTAAAGTTTTCCTCTTAATGATGAAGTTTTGGCTTATCGATCTTCATTGATATTTTCCATTTAATTTAATGTTAAAGCCCTTGCTTTTTGAATTCAACAGCCAAACTTTCTAGCATGATGAAGTTAATTCATCATAGCAGAGAGTGAAAAGTCATTGAAGTTGTTGGTTTTGTCCAAAACCTCGGTCACTTTCTCTGTTCCGTTCAGCTGAACAGTGAAACACCACGTGGTTTTGTCCTACTTGTCAACCCACTGCTCCCTGATTCCTGATCAAAGAAGTAATCAAGCCTCCAGCTTACGTAGAGAGGACACGTAAGAGAATGAACGTGAGCACCCATACCGGGTCACCACTTGTTCTCTCTGCCCACATGATGCCTTTACAGGGACCAGGGAACCTATCTGTGGCCCACAGATCAAAGGTCCAGCTGATCTCATACAGTTCTCCTGAGCTCACCCATTCTCAGTAACTAGAGCTAACTCTTATGTGGCCAAAAGAAGTGAGTTCAGATCTGCAAAGTTCAGATCTATTTTATCACAAATAGAACTTTAGTGAAAGCTTTCTAAGTTGGCCGATGCATACAGCCTCCTGAGTGTCGTCCTCATCTCCCTGAGTGTGTTGGTGCTCAGTGTACGTGTCCACACATATGACTGTGTCCTAACTTACAGTGGAGTTAGGCCTTAGTGAGCTCATTTGATGCTGAAAACATTGTAAGTCGGAAATGCACTGTATGCAGCTAACCTGGCACACAGCCCTGCCTAGACACACAGCGCACTCAGGTGTTGCGGTGACCTCATGACTGAGCGACTGAGGTCCCTGCTGCTCTGCCACTAGCATCACAGGCGGGGATCCTGCTGCAAGGCCGTAGAGAAGATTAAGACTCAAAAGTCAAAGCATGGTTTCTACCAAATGCGTTTCATGGTGGCATTATAATGAAATAAAAAACTCAGTAAGTCAAATTACGGTAAGTCAGGCATGTTCCAATTACATATACAAAAAGTACATGTGTATTCCTGGGTCTCCTATGTGCTTCCTTTATTTTTCATGTGCATATTAAAATTAAAAACAACAGCTTCTTTGTACAGGAAGGACATTTTATTTTAATGGCATCCTCATTAAACAGGTCACAAAATAGGACTTTGAACAGTCATCTTCTGAGAGATGGTAGTTACATAATAATATTAATTCTGTGAAAATACCAGGGAAGTTTTAAAATAATTCTTAATCAGCATGGTTTTTTGAACTAAGTGCAACAAATTCTGTTCAGTAAGAATATTTTAGGCACCTATTAAGTGCGGGCAGTCTGGGCCTCTAATTCTTCTTCAAAGCAAGTTTGAGTTAGGGTTACTGTTTTTGGTTTTTAATACTATTTGGCATCTGTTAATTTCCACTTTGATCAAACAATTTCCCTATTAGATCATCTTCATACATGTGGTGACCCAAGGTAACGATACTGTTTCTATTCTAGATGGAAAAAAGAAAAAAACCCAGTCAGGAAAGGGCTGGCCTCATAGCTCAGTCTGTACCTCATATGCAGGAACCCGAGACGATATTAGTATGAAGTGTGGCTGGAAAGTACATGCAGAGCTGTCGTCCTTTCTGTGAACTCCAGGCCAAGTTTTCTCTGATAATGAAGGGTAGGAATGGCTTCCAGAAACGTTGTTTCTACAGGGAACAAAGGGGAATCCGTGAAGTTCTCATATTGTCAAAATTTGACTTTGGATGAGGAAGCACCGATATCCTGCAGGCATCTGCTGTACCACACAGGACACCTGGTCTCCAAGGTTCAGCCCTTCCTGGGGGTCGGGGACAGCAACAAAAGGGCCTGCCTGTGAGTGGAACCAAATCTGCCCTTTGGCCCTCAGCTGCCTTATGTGGGATGCTGGAAAGGTGGCTTGGAACTTAGCTCTGGTTGAGCTCTTAAAATTAAGGTAATGGTACACTTAGGGGCTCCAAATGACATTTAAGAAGAAGTAGCTTCTAGGTCCTTCTGACCCTCAGCATTTTCTGGGTAGTGTCTTGTTGTCTCCATGGCCACCCTCTCTCCACATCACCAAAGGACAGGGCCACCCCGAGCTTCTTGAAGTCTTTATGCATCTTGAGCATGTAACTCTCACACTCATAAATGTTCAGACACAGAGAGATTCACATCAGTGTCAGCTTGTGAAGTGGAACAAGTGTGGGAATCTGCAGGATTTTAGGTTCTAGTCCTTGAGACTATGACACTTGGCTAAGTTATGTCACACCTCAATTTCCTCCTCTGAAAATACAGGTAAGTGAGGTTATGTGATCACCAGGATCCAAAGTTTTAAAAAAATATTTTAAAATTTCTAAGCAGCTATGCAAGTTGTGATAGTTATGAATGTCTGATGGAATAGATGAATAGGGTAAAAATTAAAGTTTTGGTAATTTTATTAGATAACATGATTTTGGTCACTGAATGCTGCCAGCATTTCTCTAAGTTAGATTATAAAATGAGAATTACAACAGCAGGGAGTCATTGAGCATATCCGTAATCCTAGCTATTCAGAAGGCTGAAGCAGGAAGATTGTAAGTTTGAGGCCTGCCTGGGCAACTTAGTGAGGCCCTGTCTCAGAATAAATAAAAAATAAAAAGGGCTGGGCTTCCACCTACAGTTCAGAAGGCCTGGGAGGCCAGGCAGTGTGCCCCTGAGAGGGCAGTGTGTGAAGTGGTAAGTATGAAGCCAAAGGAGACCCCAGAAGTTTGTAAAAGCCAGGGACAGAGATCATCTGAGGAAAACTGCACGGAGGGAGCAGAGTGGGCCCAAGAGAGAAGCCATGGGAGCTACAACCACTGGAACTGATCAATTTAAGATCCAATGCTGGGCTTAAGGGTGTGAGTACTACACCTGCCCTAGGGTGGGTAGCCTGCATAAAATATGTAAGGGACAGAAAATGTCTTTCTCTCTCCCTTTCTCTCTCTCTCTCTCTCTCACTGTTGTTGCTTTTGCTGTCTTCTGCTGTCATGAACTGTTGCCCTCTGCCGTGTGCCACCATGCCTTGGAGCCAGCCAGTTATGGACTGAAACCTCTACAAACTGCAAACTTAATACTCCTGTCATGATGTCCTGTGCTGCCACAGGCCCGAGCAGGGACAAGTGATAATGAACTGAAACCTCTGCAACCATGAGTCAAAATAAACCTCTCTCTTCACTTTAAGTTGATTTATCTCAGGTATTTGTTATAGCAACAGAAAGCTGAGTAACACAGACAGTACATGGAAACTCTTACTCCATAGAAAAAGATTTTAAAATGTTATTTGCTCAAAAACTTTATATAGAAAATATACAACAATATTGCCTCATTGCAGGGTTAAGAATATATTAATATCAAGGTTGACTGCTACATAGTTCCTTCAAAAAATTTAAAAATGGTTGTTCTTGAAAATTAAGTCATTATTTCAGCTAATATTTATGGAATATGAACTATATAATTATACAGTATTTTTGTGTGTTACCTAAATTATTCTAGAATGGATTCTTAGTAACACAGGATGGTCTTGAGTTTTAGTAGATGGCAGTTTGCTTACCGTTTGGGCAAAACTTCTAAAGATGCCAAAACAAGCTCTTTCTCCAAGGCTCCCTGTAATCCCGCTTGATCCCTTGCCATCCGGTAGACACGAGGGTGGCCTTTGGATGTGAACCCTCGGGAGTAGCCTGCCCCGCTGCCCCAAGGTGGGCGAACTCTGAGTGACTCCTCTGGAAGACAAACAGCAGCGTTTGCAAATGCTGTTAGGATTTCTCATCCGCTCCACTCAGCAACTGTGAGCTGTAGTCACTAGGTCAAGAATGGAAGCTCAGAGAACAAGCCACTCTTCCTGTGGACACCAGGTAATCAATGTATAGGATTCCCGTCCATTCTGCCCTGACTTTCCTCCAAGTTACCATTGGTTACTGTCTCCCCGAGGGGAGGCGGGGAGCTGGGGCCTATCTCCTTTCTCACTTGCACACACTAAGTGAGAACACTTAGCTGAAAGCAAGAATCACCCTTTCCCTTTTTTTACAAAATGCCATTCTTCCTGTTTCCAGTCACATTTTTGTTTCTCCTTTTTTTTCCATCAGCCCCAATTCATCTTTCCAAACCTGTTTCCCGGCTTTTGCTTGTTCTTGTGCTACTTTATCCTCCTTGTTTTTGGTCTTATAAACTGAGAGGAACTGTGGAGGCACTGACGATTGGACCTTATATCCTCTACCTGATATGATCGGGCCAAGACCCACACAGAACCAGACCAGACCTTCTGACACGAGAGGAGTCTTTATTGCGGGGAGCAACATGGTGGGCTGCCCAGTGGATTAGGATAGCCCCAAGCTGAGCAAAGCATGGGGTTTTTAAGCTGTATTTTGGGGAGGGTGTCTATGGGTCAGAACATTTTCTGGGAGGGGGTGTCCGTGGGTGGGAACAGCCCAAGCGGGTGGGTTGTTTGTAAGAGTTGAACATCTGGTTTTTCCAAGGCAGATGAGGGCGATGTTGGCTTTTGTTGAGGGGAACTGGAGGGGAACAGGTGAAGAGGAAGGAGTTTTTATTAATTCCTTAATAAAAGAGCTTAAGTCTCCCACGGGGGTAGCAGGGGGTTGCCTTGTGACTTATCACTACCCAAATATGCAATCCAGAAAAATATGCAATAATATATTTAAACATTTGTTAGAGAGGGTCCCCACATGCTACTCCAGAAAGACGGCTCCAAGACCCCTGTGGAAATTTGCATGTTAATGCACTTATTTCCATAATACTTGGGTAAGACACAGTTGTTAAATGCTACTCACTCTTACAAAGTGCAATTTTCTTCCAGAGTATCTTCCTGAGGCACTTTTCCTTTAGCCTCTCTTGGAGCTCCTCTTCCTCTGTTTTGGGTTCATTCAGGGCCCCATACACAGAGGCGGCTTCTCTGGGTGTCAGCCAGTCTAAGTCGGACACACAGGCGATGTAATGGTGCTTCCACGCACCGTACTCCTTGTCTGCTGGAGTGTAGGGCAGGAACCACCCGAACTTGACGCACTTGGGCATCCATAAGCAGTCCTTCCGAAAGAGACAGATGAATTGCACATTTTTAGGACAGTTTTCCAGCCATAAAGTTTTCAGGTACACAGGGAATATTTTGTTACACAGCGATCTCTGCACTTGACTCCTGCAATTGACTTCACGTATAAACTTGACGCGGAGAAATATTAAATACAAGGTGCTCCATAGGAAAAAGAGTCTTTGGAGACCATATATTGCATGTGAATGGCGATACAGTTCACTCACTGTGTCAACCTGAGTAAGAAATGCCCAACTGAATCGGATCAGCAGAGCTCTGGGTGAGGCTGAGGGGACTCACTGAAGACAGAAGCCCTCCCTGGGAGTGCGCCGCACCAACTGATATGCTTGTCCCCTGAACGGGACAAAAGGGAAACAAAGAAGGAAGGCCTTCACCTTCACCTTGGACACTGTCTCCTGGCTTCCAGTGCGGCTCTTCAGCCTCCTGATTCCAACTCACACAGGACGCTGTGGTGAGCGCCAGGCCTTCTACTGCGTCCTCGGGGTCTCCAGCACACAAGCAGCCCCTTTGCACTCTTGCATCCCTGACTCTGCAGGCAGCCACTGTAAGCCAGTCTTGTAAATCCTCATATATTTGTTCATCTTGCATCGATACATGAATACATGCATTAGTTATCTTTGTATACTTATCTAATATTTCCATAGCACTGGGTTACCTGTTTTTTGTTCTGTTGCTCTTCTTGAGACAGGGCTTTACTATGTAGTTCAGGCTGGTCTTGAATTTGCTTTGTAGCCCAGGTTGGTCTCAAACTCACAGCAATCCTCCTGCCTCAGCCTCCTAAGTGCTGGGATTGCAGGCATGTGCCAGCATGGCTGGCCAGCATTGGGTTATTTGAACCCTAGCCTCTGAGAATTCAGTTGCTAGCAGTGGTATAAAGTAGTCTGCCTGCTCCCACTGAGAACAATTTTGGTTGAACTATATGATGTTGTCGCTATGCAGCCACTTTTCACATATGAAAACAAAAACTACACGGGATTCAGTCTGATCTCATGTCTAGACAAAATACTACTAAAACCAGCAATACTGCGAGGCACTTGAGCTGCCAGTGATGCAAGGGCCTGCGTCCCCCAGGCCTCAGGTGCGCCTAATGTTTGGCAGCCGCCATTCAGCCAGGCAGGTGCCAGTCGCCAAGCAGAGCTTATGAAGCTGCAAAGCAGAGGGGAAAGTGCAGCTGAAAGTCAGGCTCCAACACCCTGAAGGATTTTCAGCATCTCACAGGAGAAAGAACACAAACCAACAGGTGGGGCCCAGTGAAGCAAAGACCCCTGGCAAGCGCAGCCTTTCCACTGAGAACCTTGTCGGGAGAATAACGCAGAGTTAGAGCAACTACCACAAGGACTGAGAGCGGCTGTGAAACCTCTCATCCCCTGCGGGACTCGCGTGACCTGTTCCCAACTGTGCAGAACATCAGAAGCAAAAGGAAATGCTCTCTGCGCAGGGTAACTTGCGCGGACCCAGATGGCCACAGCATGTTTAGACTCGCTGTTTTGTGCTCAACCCAAAAGAACCAGAATACAAAAAAAGGACAAATAGTCTTTCTTTTTTTTTCTTTTTGTTTGTTTTGTTTGTAGTAACCACAGAAAGACCCTCAGGAGCACCAAACATTGTGATTATAAGACGAAAGCTTTGCAAAGACATCCTATAATTAATTTGTCCAAGAATATACATGATAGTTGCTCTAACTCTGGGTGTGGTGGTATACACCTATAAGCCAAGCTGGGAGGCTGAGGCAGTAGGACTCCAAATTTGAGCCAAGCTTGGGCAATTGAGCAACTTAGCAAAACCTTGTCTAAATAAATAAATAAGTGAATGGGAGGGTGGCTGGGAGTGTAGCTCAGTGTGAAGGGCCTGGGTTCAATTTCTAGTACGAAAAAAAGAAAAAGAATGTACACCACCAAGCAGAAACTTTTAGCAAAAGAAGCAAATCAGCTTTTCTTTTTTTTGAGACAGGATCTCACTATCTAGTGCAGGCTGGCCTGAAACTCACAGCAATCCTTCTGCCTCGGCCTCCCAATTTCTGGGATTACAGGTGTGCACCACTCCATCCAGCCACATATCAACATTTTAGAGCTGAAAAGCACAACAACTGAAATTTAAAATTCAATGACTTGGTCTAAGAGGAGAGTAGAATGTGGCGGAATAAGTGATAAACAGAAGGCAAAAAAGAAAAAAGTCCAGACTGAAACATTTCAAGCTAAAAAGATAGAAAATGCATACACAAAACAGATAGAACTTATGCGATAGAATAAATTAGTTTAACAAATACTGGAATCTCAGAGCAAAAGAGCAAACAGGCCAGAAACCATATATACAAAGAGGCAATATCTGAAAATTGCTCAAAGCTGATGAGAGACATTAACTCTTAGGTGAAAAATACCACTGCAGAACACAAAATGGGATCGACATATGCATATAACATACATATCAGCCTAGGGACATGAGAAAAAAGTTGCTAAAGAACTAAAGGCAGAGAGAACAGTCTAAAAAGCCGCTAACAACAGGAGAAACAATAAAACGTCTTGACTATCTAGAAAAAAGTTGTGGAGCCAGAAGACAATGCAATGTTTCCGAAGTTCTCAACCAACAACTTGGAATTCAAATTCCCAGTGAGAATGCCCTTCAAATGTGAAGGTGAAACAAAGATCTTTTTAGACAAACTAAAACTGAAAGGCTTTATCAGCAGCAGACCTGTACCAAAAGAAATATTAAAGAGGATGCAGACAGAAATGATCCCAAAGGGAAACTCAGACATGCAAGACAGTACGGAGAGCAACAGAACAGTAGAAATATGTGGTTACACTTTAGTAAATACTGACTGTATAAAACAATAGTAGTCAATATTTGTGAAATATGAGTGATTGGGTAGTATATATGTGTAAGTGTGTGTGCGTCTTTATATATAGTCACCATCCAGATCTGAGGGGATTAAGTATTATACATAACCTAATGATTTAAGTATATCGGAGAATTTAAAGTACATTAGGATTATATGCAAATACTACACCATCTTTATTTATTGATTGACTGATTGATTTTTGTCTTTTTGAGACAAGGTCTTGCTATGCAGTTCAGGGTGCCTTGAGCTCACTTTGTAGCCCAAGCTGGCCTTGAACTCGCAGTGATCCTCCTGCCTCAGCCTCCTGAGTGCTGGGATTACAGGCCTGCGCCACCACGCCCGGCTTTGCACCATCTTTTATAAAGGATTTGGGCAATCATGGATTTTGGTGTACGTGAAGGAAGAAGGGCAGGCTGGAATCAATGCCTGTGTATACTGAAAAGACAACTGTACACACACATGTGCACATGCACTGAGAATATCTGACAAGAAAAGCACCGACACTGGGAGAGATAAGTAGAATTCAAGGGTTCCATGCGCCTTGCGTTGGGGGGTGGTTAGATAACACATGCCACACACTATAATTTCTGTGGTAACTGTGGAGTAACCATGAGAACACTCATAGTTAACAATCAAAAACTATTTAATTAATCCAAAGGAAGACACAGAGAGGAAAAAAGAACATAAAGTGCATGCAGCATATAAAAAAATAAAAAGAAGATCAATTTAAACCCAAATATATCAGTGCTAATATAGATATAGACGACACACTTTCGTTAAAAATCAAAGGTGGCAAAAAAGGTTTAAGAAAAAATGAAATTACCACTAGCGTATTCCCTGTAGAAGACATATCTTAAATATAGGGACGTAGAAAAGTTAAAAGTAAAAGACAAAATCCATCAATCAGTCAGTCCGTCTGTCCATCTGAACACTGGCCCTCTATCTGCAGCCATGGTCTCGACACCGCCCCTCCTGAAAATAATGTGTAATCTACAACGCAAATTAGTTGGTTTTTTTTTTTTTTTTGGTACTGGGAATGGAACTCAGGATCTTGCACTTGCCAAGCAGGCGCTTGCGCCGCGGAGCTACATCCCCAGCCCTAAAATACAAACTAGCCAGGTGTGGTGGCATACTTCTGTAATCCCAGCACTCAGGAGGCTGAGGCAGGAGGATCTTGTGAGATGGAGACCAGCCTGGGCTACAAAGTGAGCTCAAGGCCAGCCTGAACTTCATAGAGAGACCCTGTCTCAAAAAGACAAAAAAAGCAAATAAATAAAATGCAAATTATTGCCTTGCCTCTAAAAAATGCCTATCATTACACTGGATTAAATCTTTTAAAAGCAAAGGGAGAGACAAATAGGGCAAAGGCAGAATTCACGGCAGAAGGTGTTGGTGTGAAGCAGCTGTGGCTGCTAAGGGCTCTCTGTGCCTTCTGAAGCTCAGCCGAAGAGGGACCTGGGGACCCTGCGGGGAGCAATCTTCTAGACCTGAGTTATGGAGCGTAAAAAGAATGTCCTGTGAAACTCCAAGCTAAAATTGTTCTCATGAACACTGAATTTCTCTAATCAAGATAAATGTTTTCTAAATAATCCTATGGAAGATCCTCTCCCACTACAGAGCGAACCCAGGGGCCTCTAACACTTAGCTACATCACTCGCCTTCTTACCTTCCTTCCTTCCTCTCTTCCTTCCTTCCTTCCTTCCCATCCCTTCCCTTCCTCCCTCCCTCCTTTCCTGCTTTCTTTCTTTCTTCCTTTTTTCTTTCATTCTTTCTTTCGCTCTGGTACTGGGGATTGAAATGAGGATTAAGCTTAGGGCCTTTACACTGCGCTACCCTAAACTATTTATTTATTTATTTTTATTTTGAGATAGGGTTTCACCAAATCACTAAATTGCTCAGGCAGGACTTCAACGTGCAGTCATCCTGTCTCAGCCTCCTGAACAGCTGGGATTGCAGGAGTGCACCTGATATAGAGATTTTTAAAAATTACATGATTTATTGGAATAGTGTCGGTCTCCTTAGCTGAACAATGATTCCGTCTATTTCACTCATCCATCCGCTTGCTTCCGCTTTGGAGTCACGTAAGGCCCCAGCAGCTGTCTCTCCCGGGAAGAGAGCGCCCCGCTCCTCCCCGCATCCCGCCCAACTTCCGGAAGTGACAAGTCATGAACCTGCTCAGTTAGAAACTTCCAGGACCAGCTGACTTGGGCGGCGGCGCACAGATCTTTGGGATTCAGGAAGGAAAAGATACGCAGAGAGATGAAGCGCGGAAGCACGGTAGAGAAATCCACTCTGGCCACTTGCTTCCTTTTTGAAAACCAGTCTTGGACAAAGCTAAAAGAGAAAGACACGGAGATGTGTTTCAGAGTGCTAACACGTAAAATTCAGTTACAGTCAAAAATATGCTTTTGTCGTTCGACATCTACATATGTTACATGGTTTTTGTTCCCGTTTTGTGGTCCGGGGGACGGACCCGGGACCTCGAACCTGCTAGGCAAGCACTCTAGTGCTAAGCAACACCCCAGCCCTTTTGACTGTATTTTTATTTATTTATTTATTTTTGGTTTTTTTTTTCCGGAACCAGGAATCAAACTCACGACCTCGCGCTTGTCAGGCAGGCGCTTTGCCGCTGAGCTAAATCCCCAGCCCCTTTGACTATATTTTCAGACAGTGTTGCGAAGCTTGCGGGCTGGTCTACAACTTCTGGCTCTCCTGCCTCACCCTCCCGAGGCACTGGGATTTTCGTTGGGCGCCACCGCGCCTGGCTTCCTCTAGGTAGGCTGCACACTTACAATACATTGTTTTGCTTTAAAGAGCCCTATGCCTTTTTGTTGTTGTTGTTTTTAAAAAATTTTTTAAGAGAAGAATATATTTATTGAGGGAAAGAAAGCTCTCTCCAAGAGAGGAATAGAAGGGGAGCCGGTTGTCCCTATGCCTTTAAAATAATTCACAAATGTTATTTTGCCCACACATTTACCGTTTCCTGTGCTCTTTATTCCTGTTTATAAATCTAAGTTTCTATCTAGAATCAATTCCCTTAGCCTGAAAACCTTCTCTTAGTATTTCTTCTGTGCGAATTTTCTAACAATGAATTTAGTCAGTTGCCTTTATCTGCAAACATCTTTATTTTATTTTAATCCTTATGGCACCATTATGACCCCATTAATTAATTTCAGTTTTAGGGGTGTTTTTCAGACAGGGTCTTGCTGCATAGTTCAGGGTGGCCTGGAACTCACTATGTAGTCCAGGCTGGCCTCGAACTCACAACGATCCTCCTGCCTCAGCCTCCCAAGTGCTAGAATTACAGCTCTACTCCACCATGCCTAGCACTGATTTCAATATTTATCAACTTGTAACTATTCTGGTTTCTGCTGTACCACCTTTTTCTTCTTCTTCTTCTTCTTCCTCCTCTTCCTTCTCTTCTTCTTCCTCTATCTGTATGTCATTTTAAAGCAGATCCCAAACATCATATGATCTCATCAGTATTTCCATATGAGTCACTAAACAACAAGGACATTTTAGAAACATACTATGATACCATCTTCTCCCTTTAAAACTTCAAGAATTCTTACATGAGGTGGCCTTTTCATAACAACACCCTTCAAGGCTATTTCCCAAATTGCATCATTTGCCACCTAAGCATGGGTAGGTCTTCAAGGGCACAGAACCCAGGCCACCCACAGTCATCTCAAGGGCAGTCCACATTTTGGAACTAACGGCCATTTCACTGACCACAAAAAATAAAAGGCACAGTTGATCCTGCACCAACTAAATAAATACATAAATAAATAAACCTTAACACCTGATCATCCTCTGTCTCCATTAGTGATAAACATCTTCCGCAGTCCCAAGCCATCAGAGGTGGTCGTGTTTGAGCGACAATTGGCAGAGCAAGAAGGGGTAGGAAGCAATTACGGCAGCAGTGAGTCCAGGTTTTCCCTGCAGCCTTTCATCTCCTTCACACCAGACACCTCTGGCCGATCTCACAGCTGACTGGATACTGGCTAACGCGTTACTGAGCAACAATCCACCAGAACTCATCTTCCCACAGTCCTTTGAGGCCACAGAACTTTCCTCCACTGCTAAGGGGCCACTTCTGTCCAGTGTTACTGAGTCCAAGTGGGCACGAATTTAGAAAGAAAAGTCATGCCTGAGCAGATCTCATCATGAGATGGTGCTTTTCTTCTCTTTTCTTTTTCTTTTGTTTGGTTTCGGTTTTTTGAGATAGGGTCTCACTCTGCAGTTCAGGCTGGCCTTGAACTTGCTTATGTAGCCAAGGTTGGCCTCAAATTTGTGGCAATCCTCCTGCCTCAGCCTCCCAAGTGCTGGGATTATAGGAGTGCGCCATCATGCCCAGCTCTTCTAGTTTTGTGTAAAATGAAAGTGGTATTTCTAATGAAGAATAAAAAGATCTTAGTCACCTTTCTGAGTGGGATGCTAAGCACCCATGAGAACCAGAGATAGTCTTGACCACTACCTTACCCAAACTGCCCGCTTAAACTGGAGCCTCACTTTCAACCCTCAAAATTTAAAAATATCCAGAGGCAAATCCAGCTCAGTATAATGCTGAAAACTGTTGATAACCCACATCACTGTCGGCTCCATGACACCACTAGCCATAGTGCACTGTCCCGGGACAAAGAGCTGCCTGAACACACTAACTGGTAGTCAATTTGCAAATGTAGGGTCGTGCCCCTGGCACCATGCAGGGTTGGATTGTTAGGATACCTCTATCTGAGTCAGATGCAGTACCCTAATATATGTGAGCTCAACCTTTATGCTTAGTCTTCATGTTTATAGGAAGTGACCACATGAAGAAAAAAGCTTGCTTTAAAAATATCAATGAAGAGCAAGGTAACGCTCAGAAGAATTACAATAGTGAAACTATAAAGAACACAACTGGTTTCTTTGGTCTCAGCGGCACAAGCAAGATGACGAGGGGAAGTCATCCTTTGGAAAGCGCCGTAAGAAGACGTACACAGTGTGCCACTGCTGTGGTTCTGAGGCCCACCACCTCCTGAAGTCCACCTGTGCCAAATGTGGCTGCCCTGCCAAGCGCAAGAGAAAGTGTAACGGGAGCGCAAAGACTGAAAAGCGAAATACAACCAGAACCGGCCCAATGAGGCACCTAGAAATTGTGTTTTGCCAATTCAGGCATGGATTCCATGAAGGAACAGCACCTGTAGAGCTTCATTAATGCGCTGTATTATGTGGCTCATTTATTGCTACTTGTGATATCCAGGTGGGCCACTCTGAAATGCCAATCATGCCTTCTGTTGAAAAACAGATGCAGAAGAGAACAAGACCAGCTGGCTCCTTATGGGTAGGGTTCACTTAGCTTGGGATGAGCAGAGTGAAAACTAAGGGTCATCTAGCAGGGTAGCTGGCCTGTCCTCTTGGAAAGTTTCAAGTAATACAAGATAAGGAAAAGGTGAGTAATTGTTCTACACTGAACGTGGATGTAAAGATACAAAATATGAGCACAATCGGTGATGCTGAGCTGGACTCTGGACAAAAAAGGAAACAACCATGAAGGACATTGTTGGAGCAACAGGGACTGTGAATCAGGTCTGTGGGTTGGACAACAGTGCCGTATCACAGCTGGCAGCTGATGGGGCCCTTTAGCAGAGTCCTTGTTTGTTGGGAAACACACACTGACCTGCTTACTGTTAATGAGCACCATGCTTGCAGCTTACTCTCACATGACTCAGAAAATAAGGCAAAACTGGTAAGATGTTAACTATTGTACTGTAAATTATTACACAGAGGAACCTAGGTGAAAAGGATGAAGAAATTATTTGTACTATTCTCTTTTTTTTTGTCTGAGACAGGGTTTCACTATGCATTTCAGGCTGGCCTTGAACTCACTTGGTAGCCCAGGCTGGCCTCAAACTCACAGAGATCCTCCTGGCTCAGCCTCCTGAGTGCTGGGATTTTAGGCATGCACTACATGCCTGGCTATTTGTACTATTCTTGCAACTTTCCTGTAGGTTAGAAAGTATTGCAAAATAAGATTTTTTAAAGTAGAAAGTCTCTGATTCAGTTCTATAATACTATCAGTATATTTTGTAAGTGCTTACTCCCTCAGATTCTGTCTTAAGTCATTGTTCGTGTATGTGTGCATATTACTGGGGATTGAACTCAGGACCTTCACCCTGAGCTACATCCCCAGCCCTTTAGTTTTGATTTTGAAACAGGGTCTCACTAAGTTGCCCAGGCTGAGTTCAAACATGCAATCCTCCTGCCTCAGCATCTGCCCACGTACTCTTTGCACTTACAGGCAAAGCAGAGTGCCTTAAAATGACTGTGTGGGTCTGAGGAAAGTGGAGTGTGTGTGTGTGTGTGTGTGTGTGTGTGTGTGTGTGTGTTTAAGCAGGAAGACAAAGAATGGAGGTGTGCAGGTGATAGCGGCAGATAGTATCTACAAACAGAAGTATCACTTGGGTATCTTCCCGGAATAGATGACAAAACCCATGTAACACCTGTGTGCTTGCCTGAGAGATTAACATTCAAACTGAGTCAGACTGTGACGACACCAGGAGCAGCCAGTCTCCAGTGGATTATATCCCAGCTCTTGTCCGGTAGCCTTCAGAATCGTTCTGCAAGCCCTTGGGACAACATTTATTCTCATTGACTTCAGAATTGTAAAACAGATGTGTAAAATACAATGCAAAACAGAAATGTCCCCAGCCTGCCTTTCAGAAAAAGGGTCTCAGTATCTTTAGAATTTTCCTTTCTGCTCCCTTCCCACCTTACAGAAGCTAATGTTCCATCGTAGTGGGGCAAAAGAGAAGGATTGAATATGAGCTAATTTTAGAAAGCAAATCTCCAATTGTACACATTTTGTATTTCTTCATTGTCTGCACTGCTACAAGGACACATTCAAGTATAATGAATCTTAAGCAAGAAGAGAAGAAAATGCTTCAGTTACATTTTAAAAAAATCAAGACATGAGCAGCACAAGTAGGGCAGTTTGCAGTAATGACGTTGCGGCTCATCACATTGTAGTTAATGTTGCAAAATAAGAAGTCTGTAAGGAGAAAGAACGACACGCAAGGAGAAAATGAACAAAATGTGCTTTGCTCATTTTTGAGCATGACAAGGATAGTTTCATTTAAATAATGCATGACAATGCTTTGCGGTGTATAACTGCATGTACAATATGTACTTTCCAAAATAACAAAGCTTGGTAATATGGTACTTGAATCTCACTCTCTTCTCTTAAATTTCTGATAAGAACTAGAAAGAAGCTGCCAAAACTGTGGTGAACGTGGCTGGGAGAACAGCTTGGAGCAGTGGCCTGTAAGGAGTGAGTGGATTTGGCAGAGGTCCCT